TCTCTACAGAGATGCCTCTTTAATACAATCTCTCTTTTCCTGTTTTTTTGCTGTCTGGGTAGACTGGACACAGGAGAATTAGAAAGAAGAGTATGCAGTATCTTTAGCTGATCCAGAATAGGCAGACTACGTCTTTTCTCCAGTTAACTTCTATTATCCTAAACAAGGGGGCTCCATTCTTCTATCAAAGAAACTATCTGATCTTGGGCAGACTCTCAAGAAATCATTCAAATTTGTTGATGACAAATGTCAGTCTAGTCTGATCTGTAATAAAGGCATAGCACTGAATGGGAAGTGCCAAATTTAAATGAAATAATACAGTCATTTACTGTTACAGTTTAGATGACAACATCTGAGGTTTTGTTTTAAAGCAGTTTATATACAGGTACATAGACATATAGATATAAACCACAGAGAGGCTAATAAGATACCACCTATAAAACATGCACCAGGAATTCTGACTCTTGAATATATAGATACATATAAATATATGCACAAGTAAATAGTGGCAGCTAGGTGGTGCAGTGGATAGAGTCTACGCCTAGAGCAGGAAGACCCGAGTTCAAATTTGGCCTCAGACACTTATTAGCTGTGCGACGCTCTGCAAGTCACTTCACCCGTTTATCTGTTTGTAAAAGGGGGACAATAACAAACCCTACCTCACAGGGGTGTTGCAAGGATCAAGTGAGATAAGTATTTAGCATAGTTCCTAGAACCCAGTAAGCACTTAATAAATGTTTATTGACAAATAATTTTTGTAGAGCATTTAGCAAATTGGTGCATAGTAAGAGTTATATAAATGTTAGCCAAAATTATTATTAAATAATAAAGAAATGTGTGCATTTATTTACCTTTTTTTTTAAATCAGACCTGGGATTTGTAATTGCCATTGAAGGATTTCATCTTCCAGGGTAGACTAATACCCTTTCTACAACTTATAGTCTTAGAGAGTTAGATGGAAAAGTCATATGGAAAAGTTATATGCAGAAATTATATGGAAAAGTCATATAGAGTTCATTGATTTGCCAAGGTTACCCAGCCAGTGTGTGTCAGAGGAAGGACTTAAACTCAGATCTTCTGTCTATTAGGTCACACTGCCTTTGTGTGTGTGTGTGTGTGTGTGTGTGTGTGTGTGTGTGTGTGTGTGTGTGTGTGTGTGTGTCTCTCTCTCTCTCTTCCCTCCCCCCCATACACACTATATATATGTATTTGTATTTATTTGTTTGGATCTATTTCATTAGTACGGGGAATTCCCAACCATGGATGCAGACGTCCACCTCACCTGTAACTTAGAGTTGCCTGGAAACACCAAAAGTTTAAGTGACTTATCCACAGCAATACAGAAAGTATGTGTCAGAAGCAGGCCTTGGAACCAGGTCTTCCTGACTCCAATGACCACTCACAGGTTACTGAGTCATATTGTTTGTCATATTCACATGTATTATATGTGAATATGTATTTATATGTATTTGTATGTGCATGTGAGTATGAGAGAAAGAGACACAGAGAAAGACAGAATGGTGAGCGCCTATCTTAATTCCCCCTAGAAGCCAAGGCTTTCTGAAGTGCATCTTTTCAGACCCTTTCACCAAGCCTTGATGGTCATGAGAGAAAGGCAGCATTTTCAGCACTCTTTGGTTGACAGTTTGTTTTTACAGGATCTTTTGCCAGTCCATCTTACTCTGTTTATATCCTCAGCACTTGCCACAATATCTGGCAGACAGTAAGAGCTTAATGCATGTTTGCTGACTGGCTGACTACAAGGGCAGAGATGCTATCATACTAAGGAACACAGGTGGGCTCTTATTTGGAAAGTTAGGGGTTCTCACTGCATCAGATGAAATCATGGAAGTCAGAGCTCCCAATGGGCCTCCTTCCTGGGGATTCTGAAAGAGTTCCAATTTATTTGAATAACTCAGTTTTAAAAGAGCTCAGTCCCAATTTAGCTCAGCTCAGCTCAGCCCTGTATGAAGGTGTGCACCACTTGTCACACAGAGCCTGTGAACTGGCTCAAAAGATAAAATTTCAAAATCAAACTGACACTTTTTGGAGATGACTAGCCCCTCCAATAGCCATTTAAGTGAGGAGTTATATCAGTGACACCAGGACTACCAGGAGTCCTCAGTCAGAGGAAGGGAAACAGCTTCCATCTAGATTCAATAATTCACGACTGATTCAATATTCACCAAGAGATGGTCACAATACCAGCACTTTTGATTTTGTTCACTGCTTCCCTCCCCAGTGTTGCTTTGTTTAGAGGAGTAGGATGTAGCAAAGTGAAAGGGGGTAGATGGGCTATAAGTCTGACAAATTCATATAAAGATTACAGATTAAAACAACAATGACAACAGTAACAAAACTTCTCAGCTGTATTATCTTATTTCTCTAAGAAATAGCACAGCTACTCAAAATGGGCTCAGATTGGTCAGTTTCTTTCAGAGTAGGATATAGTTAGGTCTCCAAGGAAACTTAAAGGCCATCAGATCCAAAGCCCTCATTTTACATATGAGAAAAATGAGGCATAGAAAAGTTTGATGATTTGCTCAGTGTTGCAATCTCTACAATTGCTAAAGTTAGTTAGCACTTATAAACATGATCTCATTTTATTCTCACAACTCTGGGAGGTAGATACTATTATTTATCCCATTTTACAGATGAGAAAATTAAGGCACAGAGTAGTCAAGTGCCTAAACTGTCACATACCTAGCAAGTGTCTGAGGCTGGATTTGAACTCAGGACTTCCTCATTCCAAGTCCAACACTAATTCCCTGCACCACCTAGCTGCCTATGTATCTGAGGTGGGAGCTGGACTCAGTTCTTCTAGATTCCAAATCCCGTGACTTAGCCACCTCACCCTGTCGGCTTAGAAAGTTAAGCCAGTTATTTTTCATAGCACAGTAAGTTTTATAGGTAGGTGTTAGAGCATAATCCCTTTCCACTCACTTCTCCCCACCACTATTTTAACAGATGAGGAAACCAAGGTCCAGAAAAGGTGTATTTTCCAAGGTCACAGAGATACTAGGTTGCAGAGCTAGAGATTTGAACTCAGCTCTTCTGACACCTGACTCAGTGTTTATCCTACTATAACACAGCTGACCTTTAAGCTTAGTTGTAGCTCCAGGGGTTGGGTGGGTAGGGCGTAATAGTGGAACTGTAAAAATTTATAACATCTCCCTTAATTAAAATTGTAAATACCACCATGTGGTGAAGAAGAATAATCTTGAATCCTAATACCCCTTTATGAAAAATAAAATTACTGTAAATTTTAGGAAGACTTCACATTTATTTCACATGAAAAATATGGTACAAATTAAGGGTTAAGAAAGATGGGAGGATGGGGCACAGTATAGTTTGCCTCAGGTACTTAATTTCCTATTTTTAGCTTTGGGAATCTCATTGCATTATATGAAGTACTAGAAGATTAACCATGTTTCAGTTTTCTCCCTGAAAAATATGTGTCCTGGTATAATCAGTGGGGTTCAGGTTTATTTGTTATTTTTAAAAATATGTTTTTTTTAAAAAAATTCCCCATTAGTGGGCCATGCAGTTTGGTTGTCATGCTTTATTTTTAATCCAGGTGACAAAAGGGACAGACTGTAAAACCCTAAGTGTGATTCACTTGAAGAAACCCCTTACTTGGAGTGTGTATGTGCAGTCATGAAATACCCCATTCAGTTCAAAGGCAGGATAACTTGTGCAGTAAGTGAGTGGAAAGCTTATAGTGGATGGTATTCCTGTCAGTTTCCTGGAAATGCATCAAATCCATCATTAATGGGATAACTCAGCAGAGAGGCTATCAATATCCGAAATGCTCCTGCTTCAAATCCAACCTGCCCCACATGAAATGTATCTGATACTCAGAGAGTACCAAGCCCAACCTCCTGCCAGCATCAGAAGAGATTTGACAATAAAGCTGAAGGGTTTTTCTCCAAAGGCTGTCCCATTTTTTTCCCCTTTCTCTTAAAAGAAATGGTCGAGAGGGCAACGGGGATTGGTTTTCTTTAAGATTTTGGGAAGTGAACAGATGTAACAATTTTCTATAATTTGGTTTGGGGCAGATGCTGAAATGGCGCATTCACAGTAAAATATATGCAGTATATGTAATTTCATCTGGATGTTCTGGGGTTTTAAAGCAAAAATGTGTACCTGCAAGCTGTTTTATGGTTTCTCAGTCATAATTGTCTCTGTTACACAGCCTGCTACAAAGGCAGCTCCTTCTTCATGTGCAAGCTTTTAAACAATATCTTGATAATTTTGTGTATTTTGCAAGGCGCAGTGTTCTCTGTGTGTTTAGCACAGAAGCATGTAAAATTACTTAATTTCTCTTTGTAGTAAATTTATGAAGTAAACGCTTATCAAAAAGGGGGACCTAGCGATAATCTGTGTAAGTGGCATGAGGGCTACAAACACTGAAACACAACCGGTTGAGAAGGGGACAAAAATTCTGGGTTTGAATCGCACCTCTGATGGTGCCTCTCTATGTGACCTTGGGCACTTAAACTTCCTAAGCCTCAGTTTCTCCATATGTAAAATAAGGGGATTAGGCTAGATGACCTTTGAGATCCCTTCCAGCTCTAGAGCTATTAATGCTGGAAAGAAGATTCAGCTGAAACCCTCTGGAAGAAGATGAGGGGGAAAAAGTGTTCGCTTTTTGTCACCACTTTACTATGATAAGAATGCGTCGGAGGTGGAAATGATGGTTAAAATTCTTAACAGCTGCTTGTTTGATACTTTTACTCCAGAGAGTATGTGCTGCTGATGGTGGTAGCATTCCTCGAGGGAAAGGCAGAGAATGCAGGGTCGGGAACATCGTGGAAAAGTGAAATCCCCAGATAGAGTGTCAATGCCATGGTAGATGTGCCCTCAGCTAGCTCAGTGATTGACCCTCAAGATATCAGCACACAGTCTGACTGCTTTATTCCTCCAGGCTCCACAGAGACACATTTGCAGAGCCAAGCAAGGAAAAGGGGATAGTTCCATGCTAAAGGCTGGATAGTTACCGTTCGGATTCCACTGGTCTTCTCCTCCCAACACGAACAAGAAGTTTTCCACTTCTACCACACAGTGATGGGCGCTGTTATAGGGCATAACTGTAGGGGGAAAAAAAGATGAAAAAATAAACCACCACCAAGATGTATATCATTTTCCATCTTAGAATTTGATAGCTTGGCACACCCGTTATTTGCCTTAATCAAGGCGTGCAAAATCTGAGACTACAAACAGCGGAAGGAAGCAGGAGGCAGTAAAGCAGAGTACGTGCCAATCCTGAGCTATGTACACAGGGGATCAGTGGTGTGTTGACAGCAGTTTCAGATCCAGCCCCTTTTGATTAATTTTACATAATGTTATTCCACAAATTGCTGCAGAACAGCCAGCTTCTGCTACTCTACTTTCTCAAGAACTCATTTAGTCACTTGCTCACTTAACTTGTACCCCTAACTACCTGATACATAGGTGGCATTTTTTTTTGGGGGGGGGAGGGATGACAGGTACATCACAATGACCAGAGAGAGGTGGAATTTCCTGGGAAATGCTGTGTTACTGTAACCTTGAATATACACTGAAAACTGCTAAGATACTCAACCTAGCCTGCTTTTTGCTGGCACGCTTTCCATAAGCAGACTCAGGGTGCTTGGTAGCTTTCTATTCCACAGCAATGAACAAGCTGCATTTCCATACAGTTTGAAGTTTTTAAATTAAGGTCCTGCTGATTTAATGCCTTCTCCAAATGTATACGCTTAATTTCCTGTACAATGCCATTAGCAGCACAATCACACATTTTCTATCTATCTACTTAGGAACTCTTGTGTGACAAAGATCAAAACTGTGGCAGCAAAGTCACAGAGATACACTGTTTTCTCCTCTTTAAAAAAAATATTCTGATAGTGGTAGCTGGGGGAAGAATGGGCTCTGTAAGATACTGCTGAAAACCCAGCTCCTCCAAATTCATTTTCATCTGCTTTTGCCATATAGGGATACAACACACAGATCTGTATGGTTACTCTGTTATTTTGTTACCATCATATCCTATGGTCGATGTATACTTGCCCAGCATTAGTTATCAAGCTCTATGCAGAGGCTTTGGCCCAGTGACACCAGTAGAAAAATGATGTCCTTGTTCAGCTCATCATATGGGCACCTTAAATCTAGGTGAGGACAAATGGGGAGGTGATGTGGATGTACAGGCAGGGAACTTATTGTTTGTCACGGATCAACAGAGCACTTAGGAAACCAGTGCAGTGGGAAATCAATATGACTCAGGGCCAGCTCCTTGTGCTCTTTTGCCAATGCCAAAAAAAAAAAAAAAAAAAAAGAAAAAGAAAAAAAGAAAAAAGGAAAAGGAAAAGGAAAAAAAAGGAAAAGAAAAAAAGAAAGGCAGTCTTTCTCACACTTGGATTATTCTGGGTGATAGTTCTCTCATTTCATTTTGTTTTATTATCTTTTTTCTTCTCAAAATGCAGCTATGCAGGATAACAAATGCAAATCAAAACAAGGAGGGAGGTATTTGCTTTGCTACTAAGGTTTCAGCATCCTAAGGATGGAGCAGGTCCGTGTGTTTAGTTAAGCTTATTGCCACAGGATTTGTGGCTTCTTGGTAAAGCACACTTGTGATTTTGTGAAAAGGGACTGATTAGGAATATAGCAGATAATTATAAGTTATGATGACATCTACTTAGCACAGTTCTGTCACAGACTTTGGGGGTCACCTTGGTGAAGTCCTTTGAACCTTGGTTTATCTACATGCAAAATGGCTATAACTACTCTGATCTTGCTTTGCTGACATTTGTGTGAGACAGAAACACATTTCCACAAAGGCCATTATGATTAAAAAATGGAAAATGTTATTATCAGAGCATAGAACAGATGAATATAGAGCACTGCTCTGGCTTTGAGGAAGAAGATTTGAATTTTTAAATGCATGGATTTAGAGCTAGAAGAAACATCAGAGGTTACCTCCCTCATTTTACCCATGAGGAAACCAAAGCCAGGAGGAGGTAAGTGATTTGCTCAAGATCACACAAGTAGAAGTGTCAGAGGCAGCAGCATTTGAACTGAGGCCCTCTGATTACTGAGGCAGCTAGGTAGTGCATCGGGTAGAACACGGGGCCTGAAGTCAAGAAAACCTGAGTTTAAGTCTGACTTCAGACACCTATAGCTGTGTGACCTTGGGCAAGACACTTAACCCTGTTCACCTCAGTTTCCTTATCTGTGAAATGGGCTAGAGAAGGAAAAGGCAAACAACTTCATTATCTTTGCCAAAAAACCCCCGAATGGGGTCACAAAAAGCTAGACACAACTGAACAACAACATGAACCTCTGACTACAGAATCAGTGCTCTTTGTATTACAACGCACAGACTTGAATCCCGATTTCAGTGTTTTGTTACTTTGGGCAAGTCACTTTGCTAGCTCTCTAACATTCCCTTCTCTATAAAATAGGGATAGTAATATCTTCTCTTGCTACTTCATCGGGCTGCTTTTTGGTGGTTTGTTTGCATTTTTTTGTTTGTTTGTGATTTCACTGGGTGAAGGAAACTCTCAGGCTTCCCTAGTGTTGATTGGAGACTCTTGTATGTCTTAGAGAAATGTCTAGGGCATGACCAGTTTAAGTGATTTGCTTCATGTCACAAAGTCAGTTTATATCAGGAATAGGACTTGTTTCCAGATCTTCTTGACTCCAAGAATGGCCCTGTAGCCACTGAACCACTTTGCTTCCCCTCAGGGCCCTGGAGAGCATGAAAAAAGAATGGGTGTGAAAGCGTTCGGAAGTTGTACACAAATGTAATGGATCAGATCATTAGTTGAGAACAGAGGTGCTAAATACGTTTTTGGTCCTTTAATATTAGCTCAACATTGATCTACCCACAATTCTTAGCCCTAGAAGTGGACGGAGAGTGAATCAGCACTCGAATGTCTTTTACCCATGCAGTCCATTCCTTTTCTTATCCTTTTCACTAGATTTGGGGAGCAGCCCAGAAAATCAGAAGGTACTTCAGGGCCCGCCCTTAAGAGATGGAGCACATACCCATAACCAAATTTCAAGAAAATCTTCCACAAGTTAGGAGCTGGACTATCAACTGTCACCACTTCATTTTCTACCCATCACTGCATGTATGTTATTTAAAACTTCTACCCAACAAAATGCAGGAAAGCCTCTACATAAGAAAAAAAAACATTCTGCCCTTCTTTTAACCTCAGGGAAAGTCTATCAAAAAGCACTGTGCCCTACAAAACTACAACCACTCTTTTTCTTCAGTATGTGGTTTCTATTTTTTCTTCTTTGGGAATACATAATTTTACTGAGGCAAATAATAATTTATTTTTATTCTTATTCAAACATACCTATCGTTAAGCTTCACGCAACCATATAAGACCACCAACACAGACAATGGCTCTTGGACCCTTCAAAGTAAGGGAAACGGGAAGAAGTCTCAAGGTTACCTACTGTCACCTTCATATGCAGTCAAATTAATACTACTGTTTTAAAATCATGAAAGTTAGATTTTCTAATGAGAATATTTGAATCTCATTTCTGTATCTTTGTGATGACTTGATAGTTCTCGGAAATCATTTGGAAAGGTGGGAAAAATTTCCAAATTTATGGAAAAATTATTTTATATAGGATTCTAGTTTTTAGTTTTATGAAATCAAATGACGTTTTATCTGATTCAAAGCTATAGGAAAACGTTTCAAATATGTTGGGTGGCCCCGAAGATTAGCACTCTGATTAATCTAGCCCAGGTTGCTATGTTTATTGATTGCTCTTAAAATGACACTGACTATATCCGTGGCCCTCTGCAGCTTTCAGCAAAGGTGAACACCTGTCTCACCCTTCTGAGAAAGGTATTTGAGGAGAAGTTTGTACTCCACGCTCAAATACAGCCCAGTGTGAGTTTTTAGCGTGTCAGTCAGTGAGTTAGAGGGAAAGGGTAAAGAGAAGCTAATCAGGATGAAATGAGATTAAAGGCTGTCTAATTTTACAGCAACTGTGATCCATCAGCCACTGGGAAAGTGACAGTGGAAATGAATGATGGAGACAGACAGGTGGGGCTGTACATTTCACTGATTTATCCTCAAATGCACTGGGCCTTATTTTATTGAGTGAACATGACCGCATTTATCACGACTGTCATCTAAACCCACTTCCCTCCATTTAAAAAGGTCACTTTACTAGGAGGGAGTAGGAGAGAGGCACTTTCAAAACAGATTTAAAATCTAATAACACATGTTTATAAGACCCTGTGAACGAATTCCCAACTTTATTAAACAAACTCATTGAGCTAAAAGGAAGAGGAAAAAGCCATTAACCCCCAAAAGAGGAAGGTCTTTGGTCATTTGAGTCAACACATTCATTTAGTTCTAAAATTCGACATGATTTGTATCTAACATCTCTGCTGCTACAGGCACTGGGAACTCTCATCATGGTCTTCAAAAATTAGGTAAAACCTCTCTACCCAATATTTTAATTAAAAAAAAACACTGAATAGTAAGCAATACTGTTTAAAACACAAACACATACACATATATTCACACACACACATACACACACAACAGGGGAGGATATTAATTCACAGTATTTACCCTGCAGAATAACATTAATCATTACCCACTCAAGGGGCGTTAGCAATTGTTACAAGAGGTAGCTCTGTCACAATTAACTTCTCGAGTTGTTAATTGCTTTTCTATAGCTTTAAAGCTGCAAACACTTTACTGGTTTATCTTCTGCTTCTTCCTGGATTATGTGCCACATTACCCAAAGAGATGTGGTGTGGTAAACGGGACAAAAGGGGTTTGGAATCAAAAAACCTGGCTCTGTTTATAGCTCTGTGACCTCTGGCAAGTCAAAACCTCGCTGGTGGTGCAGTTTCTTCATAATGATATGTGTAAGACCCACCTCATAGGGACATTAGGACCATTAAATGAGATAATATCTGGGAAGTACGTCATAATCACAGACTCAGAGGAAATGCTCTTTCAAACAAAATTATTCTCTATCTGGAAACAGAAAGTGAAAGTCAAAGAACACAGGTAAACCTCATTTTACACAAGGTGTGGTTAATTCTTCAATGTGCAATTATCGAATACCTATA